TTTGCTGATGTTTCACAGTTTTTACAGTTTTTTTAGTGTAACAGTGTTTCACCATCTTTATCATGTTGTTTTGTGGTTTCCTAACTGTCAGATTTTTGCAATTTTTTCTTGTAATCTTCCTCAAATCTGCAAATTTCCCACTTTTTAAAAAAAATCATCACATCAAATATCATCACTCCTTTCTCAGCGTAGGGGCAGAATAAGTTTTCACTTTTGTCTTCTGCCCATTGTTTAATCACGACCTAAGACTCTATGATATTGTCCTGCAATGCTGTGAGTAAAGAGGGCCAAAACATTGTGCTTTGAATGTGCAGACTTTCTTAAAGGCTTTACAGCTTCAGCACTAATGATCATAACAACCACAGTTTTCTCAGCTTACACCTGAATATTAATTGAAGACTCCACGATTAATGAGATGCACCCGATACGTTTATTAAATGAGAATGTAGATGTGAGCGGACGTGAGGTACGACGAGCTGCTGCAGTGTGGAGGAACAGTTGCAGCTCCTGGTGTAGCAGAAAGAAGAAGAGTTGGGGGAGGGCAGGGAAGCAAGAACAAACAAAGTGTGCAGAGCTGGAAGCATTTCTACATACGTGACAGACACGGGAGTTGTTTGAGGTGTGATCCTGCACCTGATCTTCACCTTAAAACCTTCATTATACACGTGAAGGCAGACCGTGTGTGACCGTGCAGTATTTCTTTCTGTCACGCCGTCCTTCAGAATGCGTCTCTAAAGCAACGCTGGCTGTAATCTGACGTCCCACACAGAGTCTCCCTGAGTGATTTGGCCAAGGTTAGCCCTGAACACAACACTGAAGGAGAGTTTTAGAGTAAACTGAGAAACCTGCAGTAGTTTGGAGCAATCTTGTGTTTGAAACTCAAGAAAGTTTGCATATCGTTGCCACAAATGTGTGTGTTTATAAAGTGTGATCAGTGTGTTTTACATGTGCGTAACAACCCGCTACATCGCGATCAAATATCTCAGACTTAGAAGCTCGTCTTGACAATTATCCTCAAATTCAAATGTTGTTTTTTTTGTCCCCCTAAGTTTTCCACTTACACCAAATAATTCTCCGTTTTTGTGAAGTAATGCTGGAGATACTTTATATTCCTAAAGCAATATGACAGTTTTTTGGAGGTGCTGGAGAGGATTCTCGGAGCAGCGTTTCTCTCTCAGAGCGCTACAATGATCCAGAGAGGGAATTGTCAGACCCAGGATAAAGGAAACTCTGAGCAGAAAACACATTTGTTATGACCCCAGGAGTGTAAGCTTATGAAACCTGTTTCTTAAGAAAAGGGGGGGGGAGGATATATGGAAAATCTCAAGAGCTCCTGATGAATCATCTTGGGTCCATCTGAAATACAGAAAACTGGAAAACATGAAAGAAAAGCAGACACACAATTGCTCGAGACTTCTGCGCTGAGTCTGGAAAGAGGAGAACAAATGCAACAGAAGTGTGAATAATTTAATCATTTCTCAGTGATCAGTTCTTTCAGTAGATGTTAAGAGAAAAATAATATTGAGGAAGGAAACTTACTGACCCATTTACAATGCTCCTCTGTCTTCAGCTCTTCCCTGAATTCAAAGAAAATGCATAATGAATGGGTTTTCAAGATGCACCCGATTCATTATAATAGAGTTGCGAGTGCGTACAACACTGACTCGTGCTGATCTGTGTCTGCACCTTTCCACATCTTCTCCCTTAAAAAAGTTGAAGGCACCACAGTGGAGCCATAACAATTAAAAACAGCTCATTAATCCAAGCTGTGACAGCGGAAAACTGCATCTGGGCTATTTGTGGCAAAGCAGCGTGGTCCCATTCTGTCTAGGGCTGAGTTATTTAGATTTTTTTTTTTTTTTTCTGCAGTTGTTTTTGCTGTTGTCAGGGAGGACCATTTAACAAGAGAGTCACAGATGCAGCCTGAGAGCAAATGCAAGAATTGTCCAGGAACTGTTGTGTACAGCAGATCAAGTAATAACTGCATTTGCAGCACTATAAAAGCTGTTAGGCTTCAGCAGGAGAAGCTCGTACAGGGACATATTTGTGTGGGACACAAAGTAGAACGCGCAATAAACTGCCTCGACAAGGAAAATGAGATGAATATAAAGTGGATTATTTATGCAACATGTGTAATTAGGACATGTGTAAGTCATAAGTAAAGTTTAACTGATCAAATTAAATTAAACAAATCTCCTAATTACAGCGTAAAATGTAGAATAGACTAGAGATCAATGAAGAAGTCCCAGATCATGTTAGGCATCTGTATTGTACTGCCACCTAGTGGTGAAACATGGCACTAGCTGTGAGATACATCTACAGTCGTCCTCAAATGTATTCATCTCCTTCCATTAAAGAAAAGGCTAAATTCACATTAGTCACTCAAATAACTACAAACTGAAAAAAGTAGTAATAAAAAAGAATTTGCTAAATTATAATTTAGTGAAACAAGACATTGCTTTTGAATTGTTGTTAAAAAGAATTAAAAAATAAATTAAAAAGAAAACTGTCCCGGACAAACGAGAGCACTTTGCTGATGAGCAGTGGGCCAACATCAAAATAACTGTCAACAGGTGCAGAAGTCTGATTGAGAGTTACAGAAAACACTTGATTGCAGTGATTGGCTGAAAGGGTTGTTCAACTAAATATTAGTTTACGGGTCCCATCATGCTTGTTTGCTTGTTTTTTTGTTTGTTTGTTCTTTGTTTTTTAATATTTCTGTTGAACCACAATTTAAAAGCAATGTCATGATGTCCATTACATTTTTATTTATTATTACTTTTGTCAATTTCAACTTATTTCAGTGCCAGCTGTTTTTTTTTTCCTTCTTTAATGGGAGGGTATGAATACATTTGAGGATGACTGTATTTGTAATTTCCAGGTTATATCCAGTGAGAATATATTGTTTTCCTGTTGTTATCACATAGAAAAACACCTCACTTGATCACAGCATTTTACAATGAACTCCACAGAGCTCACAGGAACACTTTTTAATTCATATATGAGATTCATTTGGAGTGCTGTTGCCTTGCAGCAAGAAGGTCGCTGGTTCGCATCCCGGTGAGGACA